CTGGGTTCTCCAAGGTCTGTGAGGGCTTCAGCCCACCTGCCCTTCTGCTGGACCTGCTTGCTCCCTGACCTCCTTGGTATGACCTCTCCAATCAGTCCTCACACCAACCATATCATTCTCTAGCTCCCCTGTGACCTTTCAAGATCTGACCCCTGACCACACATCCCCTGTGCCCATCCAGAGCTCATGTGACATCGGGTTCCTGGCAGCATCACCAGTGGGCCCCATTCATGCAGCTTTTGGGCTTCACATGTGTGGGCTCAGTCATGGCAACTCTCTGCCTTCTTTGACCAACTGTCAACTCCTACTCAGTCTTCAAAGTCTAGCTCAAATGTCATCTCCTCTGACCTCTCCATGGAGCATGAGTCACTCCTTCCACTGGGCCACCCTCGACCAGGGCACACGGCTCTAGGTGGTGAGCACCCCTAGGCAGGAGCCATGCATCTCCCTGCTACTGTTAAATGACCAATAGGCAGTCAATGCCCAACACATAGGTGCTCAATTCTCTTGGTAAATGGTTAATGAAAGAGCAGTTTCATAATGTAGTGGGTTGTGAGGGTCAGCCTTAACATGAGAACCTAGGTACACTGTTCCAAGCTTAACTCTTACTCTTTTTGACTCCTTTTTCTTAAATTCAGTGCATTGAGGGCTGCAGTATATAGGATAAGGGTAAAAGCTCTAATACCCCAGCTTTTTCTCGTCTTAGGGCCTTTGCATGTGTTGGTCCCTCTGCTGGAACACTTTCTCTTCTTTGAAGGACTAGCTTTCTCAGCCTTCAAGTTTCATTAGCAACATTGCCTCCGAAGACAGGCTATCTGCTCTGTTGGAATCGGTTCTCCCCTAAGGTTCTTTGTCACACGCCCCCCTTGTTTGTCTCCTTCATAGCACTTGTAATACATGACTAATTTGGTAATGTGCCAATTTTGTGATTATGATCTGTTTCTGACCTGGAACAAAAGCCCCCAGAGGTGAGGAAACATATCCATTTTTGTCACCGCTGTATTGTATCTCCACTAGATACAGAACGGAGCTTGGAACACAGTAGGTACCCAAAGTATAGCTGAAGAATGGATGGATGGATGAATGAGGCTAGATTTTCTGTCTCCAGAGGCAGACCCTGAGAAAGGTCTTAGCTTCCCCATCAGCCTTGCTATTGTCCCCAGGAACTCCCCAGCCTTCTCCCCACCCGCCCCATCTGTTGACAACACTCTCAGCTCCCAGAGCCTGAGTGATTATGACTATTGTCATCAGATTAGTAACCAGGGACTTTCAGGGAGGAATGGTGAGTTGCTCGGGTTCACACAGTGAGTTTTTCAATCAAGTGGGAAGGAGCAGTGCAGCGGCTCAGGATCGAAAAGGAGGCTCTGCCACTAACTCAGAGAGACCTTGGGCAAGTCCCTTCCTTTCTCTGAATCTGTTTTCCTTATCTAAAGACTGGGGCAGAGGCCCTGACTAGGCTGAGGTAGTACAAGGCAGGTACTCAACACACTGCAGGCATGTGGTTAATATTCGTTGCTCTTTACGTTTTTTGGGGGGGGGGGGCAGTGGTGACAGGTGGGCTGTGGCTGTCTGGGCACAGCTGTACCAGGATCCTGGGGACCATGGAGTGGAAAGGACCGTGCTTTCCCAGTTGTACAACCTCTCAGCCTATCTCTCTCTCCATCATGCAGTAAATCTCCATTCAATGCAGTCTGAACCACCTGTTGCTTCTGCCACTTCTTCCAGCCTGACCTCTCCCTGCCTGCAATCTCTGCAGGTCCTTCAATGCCTACCAGCAGCCCAGGGAACCTTGTTTGACCTGCACAACCTCTCTCCACTCCTATAGCCCCAACTGTCCCCCAGCTCCATGTCTCCCAAGCCAGTAGGGTCTGGTTTGGGCAGCTTGGCCCCAAGGAAAGCAGAGAAAGAAAGGGATTTGAGGAAGCTGGAGACAGGGCTCGCAGCCTGTTTTTTCTCCTCTCTTTACCCCACAGGCCCTCAACAGCCTGCCCCAGACTAGGCCAAGGGGCTGGGTATAACCACATTCACAATGGAGAATGTTTGCAGGCCCCTGGCTGGACTAGACCATCAAACCCACTCAACAGAAGCAATCCAGGTACAAAGAGGCCCACAGCCCTGTCCATGGTCACACAGCAAGGAAGGACAGACCTGATCCAGGAGCCGGATTAGGGTTTAGTCCCACATCCCTGGGGACAGTTCAGGAGGGCCAGGCCCCTCCTGGGAGCTACCCAGAACCAGCTCTATAGCAGCTGTCCTGGCTAGCTGGGGCCCTCACCCTGGGAACATTCTGAGGTCGGTTCAGAGTTCCAGCTTTACTCAGAGCACTCATTTATTTGAGCTGTCTTGAAAAGTCCCTTAGGGGTGGGGAGAAGGGGAGTGGCACCTGTGAGAGGGAGCTGCCCGACCTCCCCTCTCAGCCTCCATCCCCCTAGTCCTGGGGGCACTAGAGCGTGTGAAGGAGGAGCCATGAGGGTGAGAAGACCACCCCTCTGTGTTCTCCCTTCAGCCTCTGAACAGCACACCTGGGTGGACCCAGCAAGTCGGCTACTGACATGGTGTGACCTCACGTAAAAAGGAAGCAAACGCTGCCCATCCTGTACCATCGCCATGGCAGGCTACGGATCACCAGGCCTTCCTTCCGAGCACATCTCAGTCTGGATGCCTCACTAAAACCTGCTCAACATCCTAGCGTGGCACAAAGCTCCTTTCAGTAAACAGGACAGCCTTGCAAACTCTACAGGGCAAGTTTAGTCCATCCTAGAGAGAAACAGAGGAAGACCCCCAATGAGATGGATGGGCCAAGTGGCAGCATCGATGGACTCAAGCGTTGCAACAGTAGTGAGGTTGGCCCAGGACCAGACAGTGTTTCATTCTGCTGTACATAAGGTCGCTATGAGTTGGCACCTAACAACAACAGTAGGGTCACAAGCTTTGGACATATTACCAGGAATGATCAGTCCTTGGAGAAGGGTATCATGTTCAGACAAGAGGAGGGTCAGCAAGCAAGAGGAAGATCCCGCAATGAGATGGTTTGATTGACAAGGTGGCAGCAACCATGAACTCAAACCTAGCAGTGGTTCGGGGCCAGGCAGTGTTTTCTGTTCTGTAGTGCATGGGGTCAATCATGGTGACACCCAACAACAAAACACGGGTCACTAAGAATCAGAACCCACTTGATAGCACAGGTTTTATCTATTGGGCACTTCAGAAAGTGGGTGCCTCTTAAAGCTTTCAGTGACCTGCTCCCCATTCTTCCATCTTCCTAGAGGTGGCCTCATCCCCTGGGATGCCCCCACTTCCACCCACCAGGCTTCCAGCCCCTTCTCTTGGCCTGAATGGGGGTAGGAGACTGCAGCACCAGAGGCCCAGCCTGTCCTGCTCTCCCCACACCTACTTCCAATTCTGACACCCTCCAGGCATAAAGTCCTAGTGTGGTGTTGTAGGAGAAGCACTGGGCTACAGCCTCAAGGTCAGTGATTCAAACCCACCATCTGCTCCTTGGAAACGCTATACAGGGTCACTAGGAGTCTGAACCAACTTAACAGCGGCAGCTCCCTAAGTGAAGGTTTGGATAAGGACTGTGCTGAATCACTCTAGGAAGCCGAGAATCTGGGGTTTTCCTCTGGGGTCTCCCTTTGGGGGCTTTTTGCGTGCCCTGGGATACCCACTCACCCTGCCCCCCCACCCCACCCCCGCCAGAAGATGCTCCAGGAATGAGTCCTGTTTTTATGTTTTCTCATCCATGGTTTGTAGCCTTGACATCTGCAGCTAGGGTCTCCACTCAAGGCCTCAATCTTCTCAACTATGAGACCGGCTGAGTGAGGTAACAGAAGTGCCTGCAACCTGATTGGGCCCGAGCCGACTGGGCCGGGGGAGTGGGATCCCAGCTTCTCAAAGTATGTCACTGCAGCTTGCCCCTCCACAGACGTGAGGTTCCTCTCGGTGCAAACTCCTTTCCTAAAAGGGAAACTGGTAGCCATGATCAGCTGTGGGCAGGCCTCCAGCCTGTAGCTTTCACAAATTTATGTTCTGGAGTTCTCACAAATAGCCCCACAAGGGCAGAACTACTTTTATTCCATTTTACAGATGGGGAAACTGAGACTAGAAGAAGCAAAAAGACTCACCCAAGGTCACCCAGCTAGGAAGTCACATGGCCAGATTGTGAATCACCAGGTTCAACCCACTCTCCCATGTGCTTCTGAAATCCCGGCAGTGTGAGGCCTAGTCACAGATGTCCTTACAGGGCGGCCTCACAGCTTCCTGAGACCCCTGCACTGGGCCTTGGTCCAGTTCCCCAGCTCCTTTAACCTGGCCTCAGTTCACTGGTACCTGCATTTACTCACCCGGGGCCTCTAACAGGATGTACCTGAGGCTTCTTCCTTTACTTCTCTCTCACCTGTCAACATTCAACCCATCAACGGAGGCTCCCTACTAGGCCTTCCCAAGCAGACCCAGCTGTGCTCCTCTAAGCTCCCGCACACGTGGGCCAAGAAAACACCTTAAAGGGGACAGTTGCTGGGCGTTCTAATTGACCCACCTTGGGAAAATCACTACCTCTTGTTTCATCATCTACGAAATGGGCCCCCCAGCCCATGATGACGGTACAAAGATTAGATGATACATAAGTGATAAAATGTAGGACCCCACTCATACCCCCCCACCACCAAACGGGCGGCATAAAAGTATCACCTTCTGTGTACCCAAAGACACCCCTGCCAGGCTCAGTCTGTAGAGCCACGTTTGTCCTGGCGTCTGCCTGCGGACTCCACTCCATTAGCGAGCAGTGTCCGCAGAGAGGTATGGAGGTCACTTTAGCCATTCCCCTGCCTCCATGGCCCAGCCCTCTGCAGACCTCTACCCAGAGAACTCCAGGCCCCTTGAGCCGTCTGTGCCTCGGTATCCCCACCTGTGAGCAAGGCACAGGAGCCCTCTGAGGACCCCGCCGTGTGCCCTGGGTGCCTCGACGGAACTCAGGTGCTGAGAATCGTTGAAGTGCTTACCTGTGGTTCAGCTTCGTCTCGGATATCCACTCCGCTGGGGTGTTGGCGGCAGCCTGGGGGCCCCTGGGGATGGCAAGGAGCAGCTAGCCCCAGCGTACGAGCAGGAGATGGGGGTCCAAGAAGATGGGCAGGGGTCTGGAGTGGGAATCCACAATCTGCCCCGGGTCATCAATGAGATAGTCATATGACCTGTCACAGAGGCAGCCCACCTCCAGAGAGGTCAGAGCTCAGACAGACGACGGGTAAAGAGCCAATCGGATGCTCTGAGGGATGATCAGACGAGCAGACAGACAGAAGCCCCCCAAAAGTAGCAGGCCAATCAGACACACCTCTACGCGGCTGTCAGTCACAAAGGGAGCAGCAGGCGGACATCGGACCCCCAGTCCATTGGGTACACTGAGTAAAGGTCATTCAGCTGAACGACAGTCTGTCCGTCTGGGGCCGCGCACCCGCGTGCGCCGGGCTAAGAGCTCAAGTAGAATGAAGACTCTCCTCTCCCGGCCGAACTCTAGGCCCCGCCCACTGGCGCCCGGCCTTACGTTAACCACGCCCACGGGGTAAGGCCCCGCCCACTGGCGCCCGGCATCGCTCTCCGCCCAGCCCACCGAGTACGGTGCTGGGGTGAGAAACAGGTGGGCGGTGTCTGGGCAGCTTCATTTCAAAGGTCACCTAGTGATGCATTTGGGGTCACCAGGGATGATGTCTGCCTCTTAGGGGAGAGTGACATCATCCCCACAAGCCACCTTCAAGCAGACAGGTCGGCTGTGAACCATCACAGACGTGGAAACTGAGGCTCAGCGGTGAAGCGGGGGCACAGCTGGAAACCTCAACTTCCTGGAAGTCTTAGTTAAGAAACCCAGGTCAGCTCAGAGAGGACTGAGAGCCACGGGGCCAGAGATTTGCCCAAGGTCCCCCCATCACTCGCCCCTCATCCAGAGTTTGCACACCTGCAGCCTGTGGGATGGTTGTTGTTGTTGCTAAATGCCCGTAAGTCGGTTCCGACCCATAGCGACCCTGTATAGGGTTTCCAAGGAGTGGCTGGTGAGCTTGAACCGCTGATGTTGTGGTTCAAACCGACTTTGCAGTCAAACGCATTAACCTGCAGGGCCAAGTCTGAATATGAGGCCTGATCCAGTCCCTCTAGGGCAGCCTGCAAGCTCCTGTCCCCATGCTCTTGAGAAAAGAACCTCTCTGAGTGCCTCACTTTGCCCTTCAGTCAGACGAGGACACAATGGTTGCTAGCCAAAAGGTTGGCAGTTTGAACCCATCCAGCGTGTCTGTGAGAGAAAGACATGACCACCTTCTTCCCATAAAGATTTGTTGTTGTTATGTGCCGTGGAGTCGGTTCCGACGCATAGCGACCCTGTACAGGGTTTCCGAGGCTGTAAATCTTTACGAGAGCAGAAACCATAAAGATTGCAGCCTAGAAAACTCTATGGGCCGTTCTCCTCTGTCAATGGACTCCATAGCACCCATCAATAATAACAAGCGACCAAGGAGAGCAGCCATTAACTCTGGGCACTCAAGAAGCTGTTTGCAAAGGAGGATGTGTTGTTTTTCCAAGGAAATGTCACCCAGCAGTCTCACATGAAGACCATAACAACTTCTGCTGCTGCTACTTGTATCTTGCATTTCTTAGAGACCTATGTGATTTCATTTTATTCCATGAAGGCTGGGAGGCAGGCAAGATTATTCTCATTTTACAGATGGAAAAACTGAGACTCAGAGGCATGAAATGTCACACAAGCTAGGAAATACTGGACCTGGATTTTGAACCTAGATGTACCTGGTTCCTGAGCCTCTCCAGCTTGAAAAAAAATGGGTCTGAATCAGGATTGACATGTCACTGGGTGGGTAGGGGTTATTCTGTGAGATTTTAATAACACAGATTGGCTCACACATACATGCCATCATTTTGGGGAAGCAGTGTGCAGCAGATCCACATGACCACTGCAGGAGAAAGCCGTGTGCTTTCTTTTCCTTTTTTTCTTTCTTTAGCTGTTTTTGAGGAACTTGGTACAAATTCCCCTGTGGCTGATTTGAAAGATGTTTATTTACCCTTTAGAGGTTCTGCTCCTCCCCACCACCAAAATAACTTGAATTCTCTGGATAATAAATCCTGGAATGAAGCCAGTTTTCCTTTTTCTTTAGTTGCTCTTCACGATGAATTATCTGGTATCATGTATGGGAATTTGTGATGGTAGAAAGATCAAAGTAAAGCAATATAATATTTGCTGAGAGCTTGCTCTGTACCAGGGTTCTAAGGACTTTAAAGGTGCATCAGCTAATTTAAGGCCTAGAATAACTCAAGAATTGGTAGTCACCATCATCCTCATCTTTATTTTACAGTTGAGGACACTGAGGCTCAGAGAGGTTGAGTAACTTATCTAAGGTTGCACAGCTGGTAAGTAGCAGTTGGGATTTGAGTTCAGTCGTGGGCTCCTGTACTCACATTTTTCATCACTCACTACACTGCTTCTCAATGTGTGCTAACACAAGGATTCCAATCCCTTCTCCCTCCTTCCTGTCTATTTCCCTTCCTTCTCTTTCTTCTTTCCACCCACCCACCTAGCCTTCCATTCTTCTGTGCATGGGTAGGAAATATTTGAGGCAGTGCAAAGCACTGGCCACCACTGGTCTGCCAGCCTGTGGTAGTGTGATGCTGGAAGCTATGCCAGCACAGTTACCCATGGTGGCCAGATTTCAGAGGAACTTCCAGACTAAGACAGGCTAGAAAGAGGGACCTGGTGATCAACTTCCAAAAAAATTAACCACTGAGAATTTATGAACAGTAGTTGATCATTGTCAGACACAGTGCTAGAAGATGAGCCCTCAGGCTGGAAGACCCTATAAATACAACTCCTCAAAGTGGAGTTGACCGTAGTGGTGTGGATGGAGTACAGCTTTGGGGATCATTATTTGCTGATGTGGCACAACTCAAAATGTGAAGGAACAGCTGCAAACATCCAATAATCAGAATGTGGAAAGTACAAAATGTGAATCTAGGAAAATTGGAAGTCTTCAAAAATGAAATGGACCACGTAAAGACCGATACTGCCCCCTTGGGTTTCCAAGACTGTAAGTCCTTACAAGAGTAGATAATCCTCATCTTTATCCCATGCAGTAGCCAGTAGGTTTGAACTGCTGACCTTGTTGCAGTTAGCAGTTCAAAACATAAGCACTATGTCAACAGGGTTCTATCCTAGGCTCTATTGTTGTTGTTAAGTGCCTTCGAGTCGGTTCCAACTCATAGTGACCCTGAATAGGTTTCTGAGGAGCGGCTGGTGAGCTTAAACTGCTAACCTTGTGGTTCAAACCGACCTTGCAGTCCAGCACATTAACCCTCAGCGCCACACCAGGACTCCCTATCCTAGGCATTAGTGAGTGACAATGTACTGGTATTGGCCATTTTGATTTGGAAAGTCATATGGTGTATACTGAGAATGAGAAATTCAAGAGAAATGATGTCTCAATCATTCTCAAAAAGAATATTTCAAGATCTATACTGAGGTATAACCCTGTCAGCGATAGGAAGATGGGTTAATACAACTATTGTTCAAATTTGCATACCAACCACTAATGCCAAAGTTAAACTGAAGTTTTAAAAATAACTTCTACAGTCTGAAATTATTCAAATATACAATCAAGATACATTAATAATTACTGGTGATTGGAATGTGAAAGTAGGAAATAAAGAAGGATTGTTATTGTTGTTGTTAAGCATCACTGAGCAGGTTCCAACTTACAGGGACCCTGTATAGGGTTTCCAAGGAGTGGCTGGTGGGTTTGAACTGCTGACCTTTTGGTTAGCAATCCACTGCGTATCTGACAGTGCCACATAGGAAAATATGACCTTGATGATAGAAACCAAACCACAGATCACATGATGGAATTTGCAAAACCAAAAAATCATTGCAAATACCTTTTTGTTTTTTAACATAAATGGCAGCTACACATGTGGACCTCATAAAGTAAATGAAAGAGATGATGAAGTAAAAGACAAAGTATTATAATGAAATGTGCAAAGACCTGGAGTTAGGAAACCAAAAGGAAGAACATGCTCAGCAATTCTCAGGCTGAAAGAAGTGAAGAGAAAATTCAAGCCTCGAATTTCAATATTGAAGGATTCTATTGGCAAAATGGAGTCCTGATGTGGCTCTGTGAGTTAATGCACTGGATTGAAATGCTAGTTTGATCAGCAAGGTTGGCCATTCAAGCTCACCAGCCACACCTTGGAAATCCTATACAGGGTCGATACAGGTCAGAACTGACTCAATGGCACTTGACAACAACAACAATGAGCAAAATAAGGAGCTTTGGTAGCATAGTGGTTACGAGTCGGGCTGCTAACCTCAAGGTCAGCAGTTCAAAACTACCAGCCATTCTGCAGGAGGAAGACGAGGCTTTCTGCTCCTGTAAAGATTTCCAGCCTTAGAAACTCTATACAGGGTTGCTGTGAGTTGGAACTGACTCCACAGCACAAAAACACACCACCACCACCACCACCACCACCACCAATGATGTAAGAAGCATTGACAAAAGATGGAAGGAATACACAGAGTCGTTATACAAAAAGAACTGATCAACATTTAACCATTTCAGGAGGTAGCATGTGATCAAGAACTAATGGTATTGAAAGACATGTTATACTGGACAAATCTATGTCAAAAACCTCTTTAGAGTGTTAAAAAGCAAAAATGTCATTTTGAGGACAAAGATGTGCCTAACCCAAGCCATGTTATTTTCAACAGCCTCATAGTCTTGCAAAAGTTGGACAATGAATAAGGAAAACCAAAGAGGAACCTTTGCCTTTAAATTATGCTATCAGCCAAGAACATTAAATATACCATGAACTTCCAGAAGAATGAACAAATCTGTCTTGGAAAAAGTACGGCCAGAACGTTCCTCAGACGTGAGGATGGCGAGACTTTTCCTCTGGACATGTGATCAGGAGGGACCAGTCTCTGGAGTAGGACATCATGCTTGGTAAAAAGGGTTACTGAAGAAGAGTAACAACCTTAGTAAGATGGATTCATACAGTGGTTGCAACAATGTACTCAAATACAGCACTCATTAGGAGATGGCTCAGGACTGACCAGTGTTGCATTCTTTTGTGCATACGGTGGATAGGAGCCAGAACCAATTTGACAGCTGTTTGAACTGCAAAATCGGCAGTTCGGGCTCACAACCTGCTCCTTGGAAAGCCTATACAGGGTCACTATGGGTTGGAACTGACTCGACAGCACTTCACAACAACAACAA